AAAGACCGGCAGTAAATCATCACAAAAATTTACTTTGGAAACCATGGCTTCTGGCAGGAACAGATCAGTGTCAGGACAAAGTACAGGGGCCTCGTGAGAAGCTCAGCCACAAACCCACCTACCCTGTCTGACCTGCCTCCACCACCAGGACCCAGTCTCAGTGAAATGGGACAGGTTCCCTTGTCCTTCTTGAAGGGCGTGCGATAGGGATGTGGCCCACTTCTTCAGAGGCCTGCTGCTCAAGCCTCTAGGGGAGCATACAAACGGGCAGGCTGTGGGACTCCGACCCCACAGCAATGTCTAGGGGTGAATGTTTGCAGCTCCTGAAGCCCCATTGGGCATGTATTACAGGGTGCTCTTTCAGTTTAGCCCTATAGGTCGCTTGTGTCGGCTCAATTAGCCTCCTTGCCTTATCGCAAGGACAGAGGGCTTTCTGTATCCTGGGATTTCTTGCCTTGGTGTAGTGGAGCAGTCATATCACACGTGGGCTTGGAGAATGAGTGCAGGGTTTTATTGAGTGGAAGTAGCCCTTAGCACATGGGGGAGCCAGAAGGGAGTTGGAGCAGGAAGATAGTTTTTCCCTTGGAGTCAGGCCGCCAAGCAGCCCAGGCTCTCCTCCTACCGCCCCTGCTAAACTCCTTGTGGTTCCGCCAGTTGATTCCCTGCCTGCCTGCTGCTGGTGCCTGTTGGGGTGCTCTTCACATCCTCTAGATGTCTAGCGGCTTGCGTCTCTCTGCTCACTAGGGTCTGAGGGGTTTTAAAGGCACAGGATGGGGTCCTGGCGGGCTTGGGAAATACAACATTTGGGCAGGAAAACGGAAATGCCTGTTCTCACCTAGGTCCCTAGGCACAGGCCTGGGGGTGGAGCCCTAGCCAGAAACCATGCCCTCTTCTACCCAGCTCTTCCCTGTCCCCTTTCCTTACTGTCCCATCCCTTTTCTTAGACACGACAACTTCTAAGGAGTATCACTGGTCCTGAATCCTGTGTCTGAATCCTGTCCTGGGGGCCAGGTGTAGACCCCGGAAAAGTTCGTCCTGGCTGGGCGTAGTGGCTCATGCCTGTAATCCCAGCACTTTAGGAGGCTGAGGTGGGTGGATTGCTTGAGCCCAGGAGTTCAAGACCAACCTGGGCAACATGGCAAAACCCCATCTCTACTAAAAATACAAAAATTAGCTGGGCATGGTGGCTCATGCCTGTGGTCCCAGCTATGCTGGAGGCTGAGGCAGGAGGCAGCTTCACCCAGGAGGCCGAAATTGCAGTGAAATGAGATAATACCACTCTCCTCCAGCCTGGGCAACAGAGCAGGCTCTTGTCCCTAAATAATACATAAATAAACAAAGGAAAGTTGGTCCTGGTCCTCCAGCTCTTGTCTCGAAAGAAAGGAAGGAAGGAGTCTCAAAAGAAGAAGGAAAGAGAGAGAGAGAGGAAGGGAAGGAGGAAGGGAAGGGAAGTTGGTCCTGGTCCTCCAGCATTTCTCCAGGGTCCTTTTTCCAGCAGGGACTTGGAGGAGGCATCACCCTCAGAGTCCTCCTCTGGACCTGGACCTGCCCACCTGTGGGAGCAGGAAGGGCCCTTGCTTCCAGTGGCATCCCTGGGTCCCAGGTCCCACAGTGGCCACAGTAGGAGCAGAGTGAGTGGGATATAAACTCCTGTCACAGGAGGGAGGACTAGCCGGGCCCGGCTGAGTGGACCTGTGTCTGCAGTCACGCATTTCCTGTGAATTGGGAAGCCTGCTATGAGAGAGGCAGGCAGGTCCCACTAGGCTGGAAGAAACTCCTGTTAATCAAAAGGCCAGTGTTGAAGCCTGACCTGAGAACCACAGGATAAATTGTGTGGTTCTTTTGGTGTCAGTCAGGCACAGAGACTGTTCTGCCCCACTGCTGTGCCTATGGCCAGGGGGTTACTGGGGGCAGACGCAGGAGCAAGAGTCCGCTCTGGAAAGGTCACACTGTCCTTTGCAGCTGAGTTAGGGGAAAGAAGGTAGAGCCGGCAATCACGGCTTCCCCTCCCCACCTCCCAGAGCACATCCCCTTCCTCCTGGGCCTTGGCACCTGCTTCCTCAATGAGCGTCACCACCAACTCTGCCCTCTCACCTTCCTTTCAGAACCCAGGGACCATGGGCGCCTCCAGGCTCTATACCCTGGTGCTGGTCCTGCAGCCTCAGCGAGTTCTCCTGGGCATGAAAAAGCGAGGCTTTGGGGCCGGCCGCTGGAATGGCTTTGGGGGCAAAGTGCAAGAAGGAGAGACCATCGAGGAGGGAGCCAAGAGGTACGAATGTGGGGGGGAGCTGGCTGTGGAACCAGCTTTCCCAGGGCACAGGGATTTGGGCTGCAGGGCCAAAGCCTTGGCTTCATCACTTACAGCTAAGTGACCTGGAGCATGGGTTAGCCTGTGAGCCTCAGTATCTTACCTAGGAATGGGAATAAGAACAGCATCTAGACCTTATGAGGCGAGCAGCATAAAGGACTTAAAGCAGTGCCTGGTGTGTACTGAGTGTTGAGGATGTGTTAGGTGCCACGGTGTGGTGTGTGGTGTGTAGTGAGTGTTGATTGTGTGAGCTGCTATGGTGTGGTGGTGTGTGGTGTGTACTGAGTGTTAAGTGTGTGCTGCTGTGGCATGGTGGTGCATGGTGTGTAGTGGGCGCTCAGTGTGTGTCAGCTGCTGTGGCGTGGTGGTGCGTGGTGTGTAGTGGGCGCTGAGTGTGTCAGCTGCTATGGTGTCGTGGTGCGTGGTGTGTAGTAGGCACTGAGTCTGTCACCTGCTGTGGCGCGGTGGTGCTGCGGGTGCACGGTGTATCTGGGAGCTACTGTACCTTCTGGCTTAATTGAACACCCCTGGCATCCTCACTGTCACTGGAGGGCTCATCAGTCAGTTGGTAACTTTGTGCAGAGGAGTTGATGATCGCATTTATCTCACACCCTTTGTACACAAAATCTCACTGCATCCTCAGCTTCACAGAGATAGGAACTGAAGCCCAGAGAGGTTGAGCAGCTTGCCCAAGATCACAAAGTCCTCTGGACACCCCTCACCCATCACAGGGTAAATGAGATCGTCTGTGTAAACATCACAAAGTCCTGCCCAGATGTAGCCCCTGTTCATGTTCCTGTTCTGAGAAAGGTAGGTCATCTTCCCTGGAGAGGAGAAATACAGAGTAAAGAGGGTCCTGGCAGCCAGGTGCGGTGGCTCACGCCTATAGCCGCAGCACTTTGGGAGACTGAGGCAGGTGGATTGCAAGGTTAGGAGATTGAGACCATCCTGGCCAACATGGTGAAATCCGTCTCTACTGGAAAAAACAAAATACAAAAATTAGCCATGTGTGGTGGTGCACACTTGTAGTTCCAGCTACTCGGGAGGCTGAGGCAGGAGAATTGCTTGAACCCAGGAGGCAGAGGTTGCAGTGAGCCAAGATCGCGCCACTGCACTCCAGCATGGCAATACAGCAAGACTCCATCTCAAAAAAAAAAAAAAAAAAG